CGAGAAGCCTCATAACAAGCCATGACCCGATGTAACCAGCTGCGCCTGTCACACATACTGTGGTTTCGGACTCCATGCTAGTTGAAAGGACGTGGGAGAAGGCCGGCAGAGAAGCTCTTTACAAGTAATACTAGACAGATAAAAAAAATGGAAATTACAGGCTGCATCCTGTTCTTCTTTTTCTTTGTTCTTTTGTACTTTTCATATTTTGCAATTTCCTAATTTTTTTCTTTGTTTTCTATATTTCAATTTTTTTATGAAATTCTAACAGCAACGGTACCCCACTGGAATCTAAAAGTTTGGGGTGGGTCTTTGTTGCAAATGAAAATTCAGGGCGTCAAGTATCATGTGGAAGTCTATAATTTATCTAAAAAATAGAAAAAAAAAAGGAAAATATCACAGATGACTCCAATTCAGGTCTGACTTTCTGTTTATTTGTTTGATTATTTATTATTATTATTATTATTATTATTATTATTATTATTATTATTGCTATAGATTTTAAAAACAGCCTCGGATTAGTTAATCGAGTGTTACATGGGGAGAGTTAGTTCCATTGTAATATATTGACATGTGGCCTTTGCATGAGATATAAGCAACTTGATTGTTGTTCCTCCTTATATGTACAAACTGAATATATACAAAAGAAGAGATCAGTCTTTGCAGATAGCTACGGTGAAGATGATCAGATCATTGGATCGGTTTATCTGCCGTTGCAAACTCTATCAAGTCTGCACTATCCGATAACACCAAAAGACTGGTAATGCCATGTAACTGCGCTGCTTGCAGTCCTCCTAAGAGAGCTCTTGTTTCGGCGTCGTAACTGTTGATGGCCCAACAAGGCTTCCCTTCTGATGCTGCGTATATTGGATGACGAACCCTCGTCCTGCATAACCTGTATTAGGATCAAATGTGATAGTGGCATGGTTGCTATAGATGGAATGATGGATAATGAACTGATCTGGTGGGCATGGAGAAAGGGTAAAAGGATGGAGGAAAATCTTATTCCTGATTTTTTTTTTTTTGGGTATAAACAAACTACTTTTCATTAAACAAAGGGGAATGAGCATTACAATCCGACATAGGGATGATCTATCCACGGAGCCAACCAGAGGGGCATAGCCTCTCTCATCGACCCTTACGAGCCAGCTTGTGGATAAATCCTTTGAAATTGGAGCCTGAATTAGGGTCTGATTATGACTAGGGTTCAGAAAAAAAGCGCTTTGCAAGAAGCACTCCTGACTCCTCTTATGCACGACATTGTTTCCGTTTGCACCGGGGAGGTGGTTGCACTTGGTCCATAATGTTCAACTTGGATACAGTACAAATACAAAGCTACCATCTGCGTTTATCTTCAAAAAAATTTCTGGGAAAATTGCCAAAAAATACTTTGGATGGAGATGAATTACTGCTCTCTTTCCAGAATCTGTTACAAATTGAAAGAGTTCGATTTTGTTAGGATTCGGCTTTGTGTTTTCAAAGTTACTGCCATTCCCAGACTTCAAAATAGCCCTGATTGAGGAATGGGCAACCACAGTAAGTAAGAAAAGAACAAAGCAGGGACACTTGTCAGATAGCACTGAGATGGTATAGCTAAAGAAAATTGGAACAAAAAAAGGAGAAAAGGTGTCGATGAATTCAGATTGGTTCTTCATAGAAATTGCCTCACACCGAATTCAGATTGGTGCTCTCGGTGCTCCACACCACACATCCCACATAGACACCTGTGGGAACGTGTTTCCAATACGCGGCTGGAATGGGCTGTGAGACGTATATGGGACACCTTCTGTGGAAAGTCGATACGAATTCCACACCAACCTTATAGCACGTTGCAGACATGTGTTGGGAGCATTTTTCTATGAATTATAAGAAAGAAATGATCCAGATGTGCGGGCTCCAAATGCTTGTGAGGTTTGTGTGAGAAGCGCAAATCCGAACTCTTTGCTGATACTGTCGGTGTTTGTCTCATTTTTACAGCTGATACTTTCTTAACTCTACTCTCCCCCCTTCACCTGTATTCGTGGGCTAGCTTCAACCATGAGTCTGCCATATTGTCCAAATGTAATCATGTATGAAAGTTGTTGATTTTGTTTGTTTAATTTTTTAAGGAGAGAGAGGGGGGAGGGGAGAGAGAGAGAGTAAAAAAATTGATGGAAGTTCTTAGTGAATTATTTTGTCATTTTGTGAACTTTTCCAAGAATTTTCCTTTGCGGGCCGCCCGTGCTTTAGCGGGCTGTGTCGTTTTGGCACGCGTGGGCCTTGTCTGTGTAGCCTCGAATTCTTCAAAGGTCAGCTCAATACAAACCCGTGGCATGACTCAGGTGGGCCCATGTTGAGATTTTTTTACTTTTTTTAAGAGATGCATAATATTAAACCAGAGAAATATTTACAAATTTCTCTAGCCGGGGTATCCCATCTGTGTAAGAAAGATAAACAAAAAAAATCAAGAACAGATAGGATACTTTATGGACAGGAATATTAGTTACAGATACAAAACATAATTTAACAAGAGGTTTTTGAATTAAAAGCTCCTTAATCCTATTCAAAATCCAAAGGCAAGTTTAGGGAATTTCTGATTGTCACAAAAGAGCATCTACTATTTGTTTAGCTTTTGAAATAACATAAACTTTGTTGCAACTAGAAGAAGAAGCGTTTTCCAAAACCTGTAAAATGGCAAACATTTCAGCTTATATTACAGAAGAAACATTTGTAGTTCGGCCACCTATAATGTTAACACAAGTTAAATTGGGTTATAGAACTATGCAACCAAAGTTGAAAGAGGAATCATCTATTTTCCCTACATCCGTGAAAACAACAAGTTTTGTATCTTGTGCCATGATAAGAGTGTATTTCTTAGAAGTTGATGTAGTATTGTCAATAGAATTAATAATAGGGCCTTGTACTTGGAGGGGAGGGGGGCAATTGTAGATTTGGTTTATGTGTTGCAAGAGAGAGAAAGGATGTATAAACTTTCCTCTGAAACATTTCTCATTTCTAGCTAACCAAATAAAGTACAAGGCAATTGCAACCCAAGTTAAAATTTTCTTTGCTAAGAGAATGTCCTGAACCTGTTGAAATAGATTGTATATACTTGTTACCCAAGAATTTTGAAACCTATTTACAAAATTGATATTCCAATGATTGCCAAAAAGAACTATTTGGGTGTAGGAGCAGTTCAGGAAAAGGTGGGTAATTGATTCCTGATGAGATTCACAAAAGACATAGTTCTTTTGATTGTCCTCAAGATTGAGATTTTCTTTGACTGGAACATACCATTGACAATTCTCCATAAAAATAGCTTGAATCTCGGAGCAGAATCTAATATCCAAATGTGTTTAAAATTGAATTGACCTGATAATCTCTTTTTGATGTGAATTGACCCGAAGATTGAGGTAGCCAAATCCAGGAAACTAAGTTTGAATCTGTGAAAATAGGGGTTGCTTGAATATTGTGAGCTTCCCTAGGAGAGAACAGAGAGTTTATGAGGGTAGAGTTCCAGTGACCCTGTTGAAGAAGGTGGGAAACATTCATGTGCTTGATATTAGGGGCTAAGGGAAGAGGAATCCAAGAGAATGATTGGTTATTCTAAATCCAGGGTCGATGGGATAGCAGAAAAACTGAATTGGAGTTAACCAAGGCCCCCCATTTAGAGGCTAAATCTCAGATTTCTGGGCTGATGGATTTCTAGTAGATGGAACCTCTAGTGGGGATAGAAGAAGGAAAAAGGCTTTTGTTCTTAAGATATTTAGATTTCTAGATTTATAGATTTGAGCCTAGAGTTTATGTTGTTCGTTGATATATTTCCAAGCTACTTCCTTTAGCAAACTTTTGTTGAATAAAGTGAGATTTTTAAAGCCTAATCTTCCAACATTTTTGGGGAGAGTTAGTTTATGGCAAGCACACCAACGATAAGGGTGGGAGTTATGATCAGAGGCATTCCACCAAAACTGACAAAAAGTTTTTTCAATAAGATCGATAGTCTTTTTAGGGAATTTGACAAGTGGCATGGCATGGATGGGAGTGGCCTGAATGACTGATTGGATTAGGACATTTTTGCCAGCTTGTCTTATTGCTGAGGCTCTCCATCGATTAAGTTTTGCTCCCATATTTTCCAGAATGAAAGTTAGGTTTGCATGTTTGTTCCTGGACCAGAAAAGAGGGAGTCCTAGATGTTTGGTATTGTTTGGTAAAAGCTTCATGTTAAGTTGACGTCTGATCATTCTTTGAAGTCGGGGGTGAATGTTTTTACTACAGTAATATACCAGAGTTCTCAAAATTAATTAATTGGCCTGAACATTTTGGAAAGTAATGAGGATTTGGTTGAGATTATCAATTTCCTGTCTATGTGCTCTAATGAAGAGCATGATGTCATCAACAAAGAAACAATGAGAGATCTTCGATTCCTAGGAGGCGAGGGATAGGCCTTAGATTTTATTTTCCTCCTCAACTTTATACAACAATCTAGAGAGGCCCTTCATAGCTAAGATAAAAAGATGGGGAGAAAGAAGGTCCCCTTGTCTTAGACCTCTAGTAGGATAGAAGTGACCTTCGGAAATACTGTTGATGAGTACAAAGTAGGAAATTGATGAGATACATTCCTTAATCAGTTGATTGAAATCTTTGGAGAACCTAAGGAGGGATAGAACTTTTAATAGATAACCTCATTCTAGCCTGTCATAGGCCTTCGACATATCTAACTTTAGACCTATGTACCCTGGACCTTTCTTTTTGTACTTTAAAGAATGAAAAAGTTCCTGAGT